ATAAAACAAACAAAAACTTTACTCTAAAATCTAAACCTAAAAATAATTTCCATTACAATCAATCGTTTATTAATACATTCATCGGTGGTCTGACATTATCTCATATTTTAGCGGCCATTCTGATGGCCACACCTAAGCCCACGTCCGTGTAGTTGAAGTAGAAAAGGCCGGCCAGTGCTGCGATGGACAGCATGTATACGTAGGCGACCATCAACTTCGCAACGACTGACCCGAAAATAGAGGGCCGGATGTAGTCGACGACAATGGCCTCCAGACCCCAGTGGACGTGAATGACCAGCGATAGGGCCAACAGGTAGTCGAGGGCCGGGTTGGGCACTGCCAGCGCCGCCGGTATGACACCCAACAGCCCCAACGACACGTACCGCTCCAGTGACCAGAGTTTCGAGTGGTTATGACTTCCCTGTGCGGCCGCACCCGATGCTGAGGAGGACAGCAATCGAGTGGACAACTGCTGAAGAAGTTGTCGCTGGAGTAGGGGTTGGCGGCCATCCAGTGATCCGTTGTTGGTATTCGTGGTGTGAATGCAGGCGTTGGTGGCCAACAGTTTTGGTGATGAACTCCTCGTGAGACACGCCATCGATTGCAGTGATAATTGTCTGGTAATCAGTGGACTACAGCCTATGAAGTGGAAGAATACGGTATTTTTGAAACAATTCTGTGATTTGATGCCAAGAAATGTCTGTTATTTACCACTTTTGGCCACAAATCGCAAGAAAGACATGTTTTCAGTGATAATGGCTTTGAGTATAAATTAATTGCAATTTATTTATGGATTTAATTGTAATTTAATTTCAATTAAAACTTGATTTTTATGACAAAACACTTGAAAAGCTGATAAACATTTGGTTGTTCACAGATAGCGTGTACCACTCATTCAATGATAATTATGTTATTATTTGAGGGCATATTAATTGACATTACATTGAAGGGGTGTGTTTTGATAAACCCCTACACCTTAGTTGTCTGTCACGTTATTTTAGTATACCACTTCATAAATTTGTGAATATTTCATACCGAATATCTGATACCTTTCAATATAACACCTCTATTCATATATCACAGGTAACGTAAGCACAAAAGATCCATTATTGATAAAAATCAATCAAAAATCCAATCTGTGTGTAAAGTTTGTAGAAATTGAGGCCAATTAAGAATACATTGATTTCTTATGCATTTCCCTCCCATTGCGAGTCAACAGGAAAAATATGTTTCCCTAATAAATGACAAGTAATTGAGAAGTGAATGTAAATGACATTTGAATACAAAAACAATACAATC